TACTTTACCGAAAGAACAGGTCAAATATCTCACAGTACATACAAGATCTCAGAAACATTGTTAACAGCTATGCTATTGACATCATTATGGGAGACTTTAATATGAACTATTTAAATGATGATACAATTGAACCACTTAAAACATTAATGAACTCTTTACTTTACTCCCAACTTGTCCAAGGTCCAACATTTGTTTCTGCAGGAAGCACACTAGACCAAGTCTATATAAAACCAACATATGACATAGTTCAAAATTCCATAATAAGTGTTTATTATTCTGACCATGATGCTGTAAAAATATCCATAAAACATAAGTAATCTTAAAATACATTCACTAATAGCACTATTTAACAACAGACCTAAATCAATGCTTCATGATCAATAGAATGCAGTTTACAATCATAATTTTCAACTGATATTACATCAATGCCAATTTATTGTTTTTTAAACCCAATCTTGAAAACATTATCTAACTCTTGTCATTTATAGTACAATCACTATTGTCTCTAACTGAGGAGCATAAATACCAACAGCAACAATTATATTAAAGACAGACATACACAATACACCCTGATACTGTGCATTTTCACACTAATCCCTTGAAGGGGTCTAAGAATGAGGTACCCTTGTACAGGATACCTCCTCATCAATAATTTCAGTCTTAGCAACCAGGTGAGTAACTTTCCCTAATACAACTTTAAACTTACTGCAGTTTTCAATCCTCTCAACTTCAATACAAAAAGGAAATCCCTAAGACAAGTACTTAGTTTCCAGTTAACAAAGTATTTTATTTTTTCCATACAGATTTACCCAAAATTAACAGTGGTGAAGACCAAAGAAACACCAATAAGATTTACATAGAACCAGTGTAACCATGTGACAACAATGAAATATTTACTCCAAAAAGACATATCAGCCAATGGAAGACTACAATCATAATATAGTATTCAAACATGAATTACTTAATGGCAGACTGTAATGGTAACCATCTTCAGTGTTTGATGAAACTGGACCATAGTAGGCCAGGAGGCTTTTACTGAACATCAATGCCAGGAGATCAACTACACATCAGCAACTGAACAAAACCTATAACAAGAAACTATGGAATGCAAAAGATTAATTGACAGTGGCATGTTGAACACCAGTCTTTATACTGAACAAAAGTTATTGGATAAAACCAAAAAAATCCTATTAACTTTTCCCGAAGACCAATGGTGTATTATTTACACAATACCAGCCACAACATACAAATAATTCACTAAATTGCATAGAAAATATGACAGAGAATCAGACAGAACATCAAAATGCAATGGAAGCCAAGGTAATAAACCTAAACAAGACCTTCTTCATACTTATGAACTACTGACCAGAGATGCATGACATCATTTCCTGCAGAATATCCAAAAAAAAACATTGTCTTTTGACCTATAAAACAACAAAATATAATGTTAGCTCCATATGTATTTGAAAGGTAAAAAACAAGTTGAATCCTAATATTGTAGTCACTCTACTACCTGAAATCTTTCAATTCAATGCATCTTTTTCGAGGTTTATTAGTCTCATTATTTCTTGATCTTCACCGAAGAGTTAAGCTTAAGGTTAAGTCTCATAAGCTACAATGAGACCTGTAACAAAACATTCTTATAAGCTTCTCTTTTCTTAAAAGAACAAAAGTAAACTTTAACCTTTAACTATATGTTTATCAGCTCTTTATCTCTTATGTATTTTATACCATAAGGTTGATTAAGAGTTGGAAAATAAATAATTCATTCCATAAGCTTATTTATTGCCTTCCACTCAAACTCATATGAAATCTTACACAAACTTCGCAATAAACATAGGCATGCTACGCATGCAAAAGTTATTTTGTGGGCGGTAGGTGGATTACTTGAAACATTTTATGTGATATCTACATTATTACAAAGGGAAAGAAGAGCATTAACGCGGCAAAGAGCAAAAATGTCGAATTAACTCACACACAGGTATTTTATGGTAGATTGTGTGTTATGCGCGCGAATAACTGTAACCAAAAATAAACTGTATTGGTGCCACGGATACCTGTTAGAACAAAATGCAGACGGCAGACAGGATACAAAATGAAGACTAGGTACAAAACGTAGACGGCAGATTGTAGACTGGGTACAAAATGCAGACTGAGAATCTAAAGGGTTTTTTCCTCTGGTATGTGATACCATCTCATATTACAACTTACCGAGCGTCACGCAATCGCTTTTTTGCGGTGAGATGATCGCGCAAAAGTGACACTTGGTACGTTGTAAGATGAAATTCTATAACATATCAGAGGAAAAGAACACTTTTAATTCTCAGTGTGCATTTTGAGCCCACTTTTCAGTATGCAGTGTGTATTTTGTACTTAGTATGCATTTTGTACCTGGTCTGCAGTCTGCATTCTGTAGTCTGTAGTTTGCATTTTGTCGTGACCACTACGGAGACTGTAGTGTTCGTCGTAGGTATTGTTTGGTGTTGTCACGCAAGAGTGTTTAGGGATGAAAGAGCAGTTACGAAGGAGGTTACACATGTTGATTTTGTTGGGAGTGATTACATCACGGGCGACGAGCGGGGGGAGAGGAAAAGATAGAAATACGAGCGGTCAGCGGGGAAACAACTTTAATAGATCATACAGAAACATATCGGTTGTAGTTGTGGAAAACGATGTTGTAAAGCCGAAATGTCAACAGTATACGTTACTACAGGAAATGTTAAGCAATTTTTCCAAAGTGTTGATTGTACAAATATCTTTTACTGCTGTAATAAACAATGGAAGCATCGGTGGCATCCGGAAGGCACCAAGAAGAATTATATTTACGTTTTGTGACTTGCTGTGTGACGTGCGTGACGAAAAAAGAAAACAAAGCCGTGGTGCCCAAATAATTCTCCCTCCTTGCCCCAAAAAATTTTCAAATTTTTCGCAACTTCGCCTGTTCCTGTTCGTTGGTCCGGCCAAGCCTTTATGGTCATTGGTCTAACCATAGCCGCTAACTACGGCTTATAAGTACAGGCGTTTTGTGTTAACTTGTAAAACTCCCCGAAGAAGTCTAGAACCGTTACACGAAACGCGTCGGAGAGTAAATAAATTTTACAACAACTGTTCGCAGAGTGCTGCTTACCAGTTTACTTTTAAACTTTTTTTTTAAAAAATTAGGTGCGATAGCTATAGCCAGTTTTTCTATGCAAGTTGTCTGGATATACCTTTCGTGCAGACGCTTACAGAATATTTCACCAGTCGTTAGGTTCAGACGATAAGTTTTCATCCCGATTGTATTTGTTCAATTAAATGGGAAAAAAACACTTCGAACGGAAACATAATTATTTTGATCTCGTAAATGAGTGGCCTTGATTATAGATGTATAAACACATAGGCCTTAACTTGGCTGTTTCTCAAAGCTTAGTGTTTTCCTACGTGCCTTTTTTCACGTGGAATGAAACGATTGAATATACAGGACAAACAATAAAAGACCTACCTACAGCAGACGGAAATTTGAAATTTCCTATCTTCGGCTGTGGATACAAACAAATTTTTGTAGAGTTGCTTAGCTTTTAATTTTTCCGGAATCGAAAGTCGAAATTGCAAAATTCAAGTGAAAAGCAAGCCTACTGTGATTAACGCCTTAAACAAGTCAAAATAGTTTTTTTCGTCATTCAGCAAGTTACATATTGTAAATATCATTCTTGTTGATGTTTTTCCCGGTGTCACCAATGCCTTTCCCGATACCTCCGTTGGTTAATATAGCAGTAAAAATATTGTTGCAGTCAAAGCGTTTGGAAAGTTGCTTTACTTTTTAAGCAGCAAAGTATAACTCGGTAACATTTTGGGTTTACAACACGATTGTTTTCTGCAAGCTACAAAACGTAAATATAACTGTTGTTGGTGTTTTTCCAAATGCCACCGATGCCTTTTCCGATGCGTTCATTCTTTATTACGGCAGTAAAAGATGTATGTACAATCAACACTTTTGAAACATTGGTTGACATTTTAATTAGCGAAGTATACTGTTAACATTTCGCCTTTACAACACTATTATTTTGTGCAACTACAACTGATCTATCTCTGTATAAGGTAATAAAGTTGTTCTCCCGCTGACTACTCGTATGTCGGTGTTTTCTTCTTCCCCCGCTCGCCGCCCGTGATGTAATAACTGCCGATTTTGTTTTTGTTTGGTCGGAGAGAAAATGGAAACTATTTGTTGATACTTAGTTGCTTTAGAATATCATTGCAGATAATTTCATTACGGAAAGCAAATGTTTATAGTCCGGTTTAATGTCGTATATCCGATTAAAAAAAGAACAATAGGTATTAGTTAACTAAATAAACTAACTTTAAATGAAGATGGTTTGCGGAGAATAAATAACAGAATATACGTTGAAGTTGGGGGACAAAATAGTGTGACATCTGATGCTTTAGGATACCTTGTTCGGAGATTAGAGATAGCTATTAAGCGTAAGAAACTAGATAGTTGTAAATTAAATATCAATGAAAAATTGTTTATTTCATCGAATGTCAAAACAACTGTTTGCGAATTCATCGCAGCAAAGTAACGCAACAATTTTGGAATGTTGGTAACGCTTGAAATGAAGTTCGTATATTGACGTCATAGTTGAAATCTTTTTTCAGGGAGTGAGAGCATCTCTTGGATGTGAAAACTGTACCTTCTTGATGATGTTTGATGTGTTACTGTAAGAAACTGTTAGGTTCTTCGTGTTGAAAATTGCTTCGTAAAGTTCTTCTACGGATGCGTCTAATGTTAGTTTAGCGTCAGAGTGATGGAGGATTTCCTCGATTATTGGGGTGAAGGCCTTTAACCAGATTAGTTCGTACTTTGAATTTCTTATAGCGATGCGTACGGAGGCGCTAGTAGCGCAAGAGGAGATGGGTTGTACTGCATTACAGTTGGAGCACTTGATGATGGTGGATGTTTCGGTTAGCGTGGCCTTTTCCGTCATTGAATGGTGACATTTATTACAGGAAAGCCAAGTTTGGAATGCTTCAGCGAGAGTTACCCTGTCAACAAATATGACGTCAATGTCGAAGAGGCTTTGAAAGAGCTGGTCGCTGGGAGGATTAAAGTGTTCTTCTAGTGGAGTAAGAGTAGTCGACGGGGTAGTTGTGAGGTACTTGGCATTGTCGTATGTTTTTATGCGTACTTGGGTAACGGAGTAAGATTGGTGGTTGGATGCTTGTTGGATAAGATCACCCCACAGTGTCAGGCGGATGGTACCCGTACTGTCAGTAATGGTGCAACGATTTAACATGGGAACAAGAAATCCGTCCTTCATGATGACTTCTCGCACAGAGTCTGCGTCCAGTGTAATTATCCCCCTGACAGAGGCTAAATGATTTTGGGGGAGGATTTGTATTTCTGTAATAGCCGTGAATGAGGTTTGCGGTTGCTGCGATGTGGTAGTGTCATATTCAAACGGAACGTCGCCTAAAGCGGCTGGTTCGATGCGAGATCTTTTGCCCAGGATTAGATGTTGTTCTTCTGCATCGAAGATACTGGGCTTTTCTTTGATGTTAATGATATGAGCAGGTTTTTTCGATTCTTGGAAGTTCTCTACCAGCTTGTGTTTGCTATCGTCGTAACATACAGCTCGTCGCTTTTGCGTCTCGTTAATTTGGAAGAGGAAGGTGAAGTAGTGAGTGGATCCATTTCTGCTTTGCAAAACAGCAGTTGTATCGTGTATGTAACCTTTCAGGCTGAGTTGGTTGCTCATGTTTGTGGGAGAAGTGGAGAATTAGTAATGTATTATTACTGTAGGTGCGAGATGTGGGTTTTATAGAGAAGGGAAGAATCGATATTAGCCAATGAACAGGCACACATATAAAGTAACGAATCAGCAAAGAGAGGTGATAACCAATTGGGTGGATGATCAACAAACTCGAGTTGATTTTGACATGCAGTTGCATGTGATAGGTCAAAGTGTAAAATAGAAAAGGGAATGCGATTGGTAGAATATTTAGTTAACACGTGGACAAGGGGTGGCACGAGTTTAGAGGTCGGCAGAAAATAAGTCTTGGAAAAAATTTAAGAGTTATTTGGAAGTACAATTAAAGGTGTGGAAAACCAAAGGTGTTAATGAAGGTATGGAATTTTTATAGGGAATAAGCGCGAATAGAAGCACCTAAGTTTTCGATGGATTTTTCTGGAGATGAAGTTTGAACTTTAGGAGAAGCGTACGTGAAAATATGCAACTTGTTTACAAAAAGATGACACGCAATGGGGCAAAGGTTAAATTTGGGTGATAGACACACGTGAAAGGTCAAAGTGTAAAATAAGGATAGCGATTGCGATTAGAGGAACATTTTTTCAACACGTGGATAAGTAGTGGCAGAAGTTTAATAGTGGCAGGAAATAAGTCTTGGAGAAAGTAAATTGAAGCAAAATTAAAGTCTTTAAGAAAATGAAGGTTATGAACGAGTATTTTAAAGGTGTTAAAGTCAACATTGGAATTCTTCATTGTCGAGATGGACCTTGAACTATACGAAAAGTGAACGTGAAGTAATGTAAGTTGTTTACAAGGAATTGACATGTGATGGGGCAAAGTCTAATGCGAGGAAGTAGAGTGAGCACGTGAAAAGTGTATGCGATAACGTGATTTGAAAGTAGAGTATCAATTAGTTGAAATCTAATATGGACTTTGAACTTTTGCAATGACAACGTGTGAGGAATGCAACTTGTTTACAAAGAAAGGGCACGTGATCGAGCGAAGTTCAAGGTGGCGAGAGGGAATTAGATTGGTGGAATGTTTTTTGATCACATGATGAAATTTTCCAGAGTGGATAAACCTTTATCATTGGTTGTGAATATTTTACAGTTGGTATAAAAGAGGTAAGTTAAGTTGTTAGCTAGTTATTAGTTCGGCAACGCGGCGTCCATAACAAATATGAATAACGAGGCCCAACTCAAGGGTTACGTTCATAACGTTTCAGCTGTTTCAACGGCGAAAAGAGGATCGTTACGGTACTTCAGGTTTCATTTTCAAGTGGAAGAAGGTGACAAGCGACGAGCTGTGTGTTATGATCTCAGCAAGCGTAAAGTTCTTAAGAGTTATGAAGAAGCGCGTGAACCTGTGAAGTTATCAAATGTCAGTGGGAAGCGATGTGGTGGTAGAATGGCAGAGGAGAATATAGTGCTAACGAGACGAAGTCGGATCGAACCCGCCAATAATTTTGACATTCACTTCGAGTACGAAGAAGGAAATGGTTCGGGAGATGACCAGCAGGGTTTCACTGCCATAGAAGCAATTGCGTCACTGTGTGAAAATCAAGTGATTTCGGTGAAAGGGTGCGTAACTTTTGAAGGTGAATGTGTTAAGCAAGTAACTATGAAGGACAATTCCATCGTACCAATGTTAAATCGTTGCACGATTACAGACAATACGGGGATCATGCGGCTTACACTTTTGGGAGATGCAATTCAACAGGTGGTGAACAATAAGTGTTATATAATTGAACATGTGTTAATTAAGAAATACGATGGGATGAAGTACGTGGCAACGAACCACAAAACAGTAATATCTGCTACTGAGGAGAAGTTCAATGCACCTACCGAGGAAGCGTTTGAAACGCTTTTCGACGTTGAAAAACTAATGGTGGATAAAATACATTTGGCGCAGAGCTTTAAGAAATGGCTATCTTGTTGTAAATGCCGAAAGAAGCTAATAGACACCAGTTGTTCCGGTATCAGTATTGTCAAGTGTGGCAACTGCAAGACAGTTCAGCCTCTTTCTGTCTGTTGCGTAAATGCTTCCGTGCGCATTGCAGTACGAAACAAATCTGAGTTAATCTGGCTCAAGGCTTTCACGCCAGTACTAGAGGAGATGTTACGCCATCCAGCGCCCGATGTAACAGTTAACTCTCCCGAGGAAGAAATCTATCAGCAGTTGTTTGACCTGCAGAACGTTAGTGTTGAATATGGAAAGAGTTCTTTTACCATAACAAACATTTACTTTGAGTCATTGTAGGTCGAGATAATTGCATTGACTGGATGTTATTTGACTTGAAAAGGTCATTAGTGAAAGGTTATTGTTAATGAGAATTCAAATAAGGGTTCACTTGATATTGTTGAGTTGTGCATATTGGGAAATGATTGTGTTCGTATGGATTTTTAAAAAAGTGGTTAAGTTGATGTTTATTTTGGAAATGATAAGTTATTTGACCTGTACTCAAATAGTGAACGCTGTTGTACTACGTGAAATGCAGTTATGAGTAAGGCTTCACAGCAGAACTGTTTCGTAGTATTGACGTTTGGTTTTAAGTTTGTTTTGAGAAGAAAACAAAAAGTATTCATTGGCGTTTGATTTGACACTGGACATTTAAATTAATAATCGAATTGAAATGTTTGAATAGGGCGGTTTTTCATTATTAGAACTACGTTGAGGTCTGACACAAGTTTAGTTTTGTTACCCCATTTCATTTTTAAGTTTGGTTAATAAATGTGATTCAAAATTGTAACTGGTGAACATGATTATATTTACAATTTTTCAGTTATGGTTTAATTGTACGTTTTTCGACGTTGAAAAACTAATGGTGGATAAAATACATTTCGCGCACGGTTAAATCGAGGTAAAACAAGTTAACGAGAGAGGCTTCACCGAAGCATTTCATTTCTGTATTAATAATAAAAGTGATTTAAAAGGCTTCCAATAAACTTTGAAACATTATTGTTACAAGTATCTGTGACAATCTGACACCCTTCAATTAGAGAGTGCGTGAGGAAAAAAAGGCGTAAGTACACTTTTTGAAAAAACAACAGAATTAGTGATCTTAAGGAAAGTATTATTCACTCTCCTACACGATTAATTAGTGTACGAAGATTTACCTGTGTTCAGCAAGTAAGTGGCAAGCAAAGTTAAGGTAAGTAAATTCAATTTTTTTATTTTGAAGCTGTGAGACTTTGCTCGTTTGTTTATTGCAATGGGGTGTGTAAATCTGGTCTTTCCTTCAGAAAACTAAATTCGAATGAGATACTTCATCAAAACACAAGGGGATTAAATGCGGCTTTTCCTTACTAAATTTTTTCAGTTTTTGTTGTGCAAGAACGACTACAAATGATCCGGAAAAGACTTACCGAAAACATCTATGTAGCAGTGCTAAAAACTTTGGTCGCGTCATCAGTACAAACAAATTGTTTAAGAGAATTCAGATATTAAATGGATGAAAGTTCTATCGATTAATTCAAATGTAACCAAATACGTCACATTTTTACTTTTTAGGTACTTTTTGTGAAGGACTAAAATTAATTTCAGACGGTTTTTAGGCCGCTTGTGGACCAATTTAATAACACTTTTGCTTATACAAATTGCCTTCGAAAGCAATATTTTTCTGTCAACAAAGTGATTTGAGAGAGAGACACAAAAGACAGGATTAATATGATATTTATCGGTTGAGGTAGTGACCGACATCTTTGCTTAAAAGTACTGCCCAGCCGGGAAAAGTACATTGGCCAAAAAGTGCCGCCTGACGAGACAATAGGCTTATTTTAGCAACAGGACGGGAACGTCAGATGACGACGGGGGAGCGAGCGGAATAGTCTGGATTCTGTTCTAATTTGACCATATTTGGGTATTTGCACTGCGCGCGCTGTCGTCAAGTGAGGTTCCCGTTGTCTTGCTAAATCAGCCTAATTACTAGTGCTAGAACGGTTTGTTGTTGGGAACATTGGCTGACACTGGTCTCTTACTAACGAGGTTGTTGCTAGGGGAAATCTATCTTTCGTAATCGGTTTGTCGCAGCAAATGGCCGAAATTACGACGGAGTAAATGATGGCGTCGATATCTGAACTATGCTTGTTGTTGTATGGCGAATGGTTTGTAGACAGTAGAATTGGCTATAGATAAAAGAAAGGGAAGGTCGAGTTGATGAATTTCCATTTGGGAGTTGGTTTCAAGATTGCTGGCGAACAGGATACTAAACAGGGGAACACAGGAATCATGATTTTCAAAACAATTGTTCATCGCATAAGGAAAAGGCATTTTTGCTTAGTCAAGGTTGGTAAAGTTTGGTAGTAGTTTTGTCATTAGGTGTGTTGTTTTGGTCACATCGGGATATATGTATTAATCACGGCACAAGGGGTTGAAGAGTTATCGGTACTTTTGTTGACAACTTGAAGTCATTTCGTACAGAAAAAGACCATAGCGACCAGGCCTAAGATGCACCTTCTATTCTTTGATGATATCATATTAATATGTAAAAAGATTCTCAAGTAACTTTGACAAAGTGTGCACTGTTGCGGGAACTAAACGTAAATCATTTATTGATGGTTCGTTGTCTGCTTTAAATCAAACACGCACAAACAGAAGAAATCAACGCAAAAATGGAAAAACTATGAAATCTTGTGGATATTACGCCATGGGCCAGCATTTGTCTGCTTCAATTCAAAAACAAAAGCACAACAAATCAACGCAAAACAGGAAAAATTATGAAATCTTGTGGATACTACGCCATGGGCAAACATTAGTCTGCTTCAAACCAAAAACACAAAAACACAGCACATCAACGCAAAAAAGGAAAATTATGGAATCTTGTGGATATTACGGTATGGGCCAACACTTGTTGCTGAAAGAGAAAGGAATCAAGTGATTAAAAAGAGCTTATTTAATTGGTGATTATTTCCTTTATTGTCATGACGTTACTGTGTGATTTAGAGATGACAGTGTTGGGAAAAATTAGATGCCCAACAGTGTTTGGGTTCAAAGGGTTAATTAGCACAGAACTTCTATTCTTGGTCATTATTTGAAAATTTATGTATTATATTTTGTGTTGACACTAGTGCTCCTGCCATTGTTTTGTAGTATAAATTGTAGGTACTAAAAACCTTTTAACATAAATACAAATTTTTACTGTAATTTTTGCAATCATTTGCTAGGTGTTAACTTGATCCTTTTTCAGAAGGTACAACTATTTAAATTTCTGATTTGAAAAAACTCTTAGTGACTTGTGTGTGTCAAGAAAAGTAACAAAAAGTTTGTTGTGTGACCTCAGGTGTGATGAGGTCATGTTTCAAAAGAAAAGGGAATGAAATAACGTTGATTTAAAATTTTGACTTAGTCTTTAAAATGGATGATGTGATGTGTTCAAATTGTAACAATTCCTGTCATAACTTAACACTGAGTCATGCAACATGTGATGATTTCATGAATCAATTGTTTGCTTTTTCTTTACATATGAACTTGAGGCTTGTCTAGTGTGACTAATATGTTATTTCCTTCAAAGTGACAGCCAGTTTTGACAGGTTATATCAATTAACAAGATAACATTTTAATTAAAACAAACATGAAGCAGAATGTTACCACTTTAGTTGTCTGCCAGTGCAGATACCTTCACAAGGTTTGATCTGGCAATCTGTGAAATAGTAAGTCATTGACAAAGGAGTGCATCAGAAGGAGTAAATGATATATAAAACAGGCATTAAAATTTCATAAAAATTTATGATTAGTGGTCTAGTATGTTAAAGGCAAATTTTTTGTAAGTGTTATAACTATCAATGGTGATTGCTTTTACTTTACTTTAATCAAATTTTGGATTTGACAAATCTGAGGTAGGCTTAAAACACAATACAAGACTCTTTAAAAATAAGCCACCTATTAACACTAGAGCAGACCACAACACTGGGAGCTACAGTACCTACTCTTTGTGATAAGTGTGTGGGTTTTTCAATGTCCCCTACTAACCAATACTGAGAAGATGCAGGACACAGGGCCTACAGCTTATCGTTCTTATCCGAGAAAACTAGAATGTCTTAGTGCTTGCAGATGTCATAGCAAAGGTAGCACATTCTCCTCAGTTATTTTAAGACCCTGAGTGTGGGTCCAGTCTAGGTCATGAACCCCGACCTCTCACACAGTTCAGTGCTCATGCACATATGCTAACCACATGACAGTTTTCATGTGTAATTGTAGTTGTGATTGAATTTAATTGTAAACTACACAAGTCAAAACTTACTGTTTTACAGACGTCTAACATGTGGTTAAAGTACAATCTGTTCTGTTGTGAGTTCTGTGAAATATAGGGATAATTTGTCACTAAAATGATGTGATCCACCTTAAATCATATTCCTGAAGTTAATAAGATGTAAAGAAGGAACTTTTTCTTAGATTTCATTTGTAATGTCAATGTATAATCTTTAAACAAAGAATGATCAAATAAATACATGATTAAGGTGTTAAACTGCCCTGAATTAGGTTTTCAGTGTACCAAAAGTTGACTTAACGTTTCTAAGGAATTTTGTTAAGATCAGTGTACCACAGGTTGTGAAATGAGTTAGGCATTAATGTCATAGATTGGAACATTTTGATTTGATGTATTTGATTGACTATCATTACAAATATAATGCTACAAGCATGGTGAAGTTCTAAGGTTTGGATAAATACTATTAATAGTAATAATAAAGGACAAATATTCATTGTATTTTCTATTTGAAATGTTTGAAAGTGTTACCATTATTTAGATTTATTGGTAATGTTCAATTCAAGGAATGAATTTTAAAAAATTTCACTTACTGTAGCTGGTGACCTTTGCAACTGATTTTGAATTTTCTTGAGCTGGTTATCAATGGTACATAAATTTTTAACCATGGTGATGAGTGACTTTTTCATTTTCTCAAAATGATCTAGCAATGAATTGAAAGAATTTGATAAGTTATATGTATTTTGTTAGTTGATTATTAATAGACAAGTACAACATTTTGTTGAAGGAAGCATTAAAAAGTATAGGGTAATCTATGAACAAGCTATTTTTATAAAAATTTTCAGTCACATGACAAAAGAGACCTCAAAGAGATGTATTCATCTAATATATATATATATATATATATATATATATATATATGTTTTTCACATCAAACAAAAAATTGTATATTTTGAATTCTTTGAAGAGAAATTTTTTTGAAAATATTGAAATGTGCATGGTTTTTTAACAAAGTATTTTTTAATTGAATTGCTTAGTCAGTGATAGTATAATGGCT